GATCAATCTAAAATCCTTGCGAATTTGCCATTTACGATTTTCGTTAGAGTGCCCAAAGGTACGAAAGCCATATTCTTTAATTTAAATTTACAATGACTAATAGCAGCTATTATGCGCCTTGCTATTTTCATCGGCTAAACGACGTTAAATCGCACGAAAACTTTGAATTTCGAACGCAACTCGTTACTCGCCACTCGTTACTTCGAATTATCGCTTAGACTTCCCGCACGTTTCGCGAATACTCTGTCGTGCCTCGATAACAAACAAAAAAAAAAAAAAATTATTTTTTACAAAAGTGCGCCGGCGTTTGGAAACTTGCAACTTATTACAGGATAAGCGTGGACATCTTGCCAGCAGCGGGCGCGGGAGGCATAAAGGACTCGATCGAGGCTCACGGACTATTGTCGGCCGACGCGAGCTTCTCGAATAATAATCGGCTACGTCGAAACGCGAATCATAGAGCGAGAGCGCGACGCTCAAGGATCGTCTCGTTATCAGCTCGTTAAACCAAAGGCGACAAGGGGTCGAAGTAACGGGGCGGATAAGCGAGACGTCGTGCTGCCAAATGGGTATACCTAGGTTGCGTCGAGTGCAGAAGTCGAACGGCCATCGGAATTCCCGACACGCGCGCCTCAGAGCACGGCTCGCCAGCCCTGCAAAACGTGCCCGGCAAGGAAAACTCCCTCGCTCGGGATCTCCCCCGCGGCCCCTGCGGCCCCCGCTGCCTCCTAATTATTCACACGGCCCCTTATCGCCTCTGCGACGTCCCGTAATATTGGATGCCCACGTAGATGCGGGTCTCACGCGCAGCAGTACATTCCCGCTTTCGAGGAAAGGTCCCGAGGGAGAGAGAGAGAGAGAGAGAGAGAGAGAGAGAGAGAGAGAGAGAGAGAGAATCGGCCATTATGATGTGAGTGAGTGAGTGAGTGAGTGAGTGGCCACCGCGATGGGGCCCATTGTTCGCTTTTAAACGTGTGCTTACAAATTGCCCGCCATTATTCGCACAATTGATATTTTACGTAAAAAGGCCGGGCTGGGCACGTACTTTTGCGCCTCTTCGCTGCTATTGGATGAGTCGGGTGTTTTGGGGGAGGGTGGATGTGGAGGGACGACACACTCGTAGTCATTTGTGTCCGAGTGACTTGCGAGGTCGTAATGCGCTAGGCCAACTTGGCGATTTGGGTTTGTCAAGGATACGGAAAATGCAGAGGCGTATAATGACCTTTGTTACGCCCTTTTTTATTTAATTTTCTATTCTATCCTTTCGTTTTTTTCATGGATGTAATATGCGTTGCAGCAGTCGGCCGAAGGTCGAAAATAATTTATGTCTCGCGTTTTGTATTCGATGCGAGCGCCCATCCTCGCATGAATCTCCTAAAAATTTAAACTTCGAGCTATCTCATCCTATCTTTGAAGAATTATGTTTTCTTAACATTATTTAACATCCCATACATCAATTGTTTATTCGATTTGAATTTATTTACAGTAAAAGCTTAATCGACTCTCGCCCCATCACTTTTACCCCTAATTTACAAATTTATTAATGAAACGTCATTCGTGTCTATTTGCCGTTTTTCCAACAAACATCATCCACGCCCGATTCTTTGCATCTCTTTGATCGGGACTGGCTCTCTCTCTCTCACTCTCTCACTCACTCTCTCTCTCTCTCTCTCTCTCTCTTACTATTACAGAGAAATTCACTTTGCATATTTTTCTCTTTGGCTCTGACGAATCCGTATTATGTGATAACAATAACAATTGAGTGCAACAGTCGCTTCTGATTATTTTGTCCAAACGAAATCTATACGATTTTCAATCGTTAATCCAATGCCTCCATCGTCTTCTACAAATCGAGATCTTTAATTTTTTATTTGCCACGTCATTCGTAATCATGTAAGAATTTGAAGAATTCAAGGAAAATAAATAGTTCATAATTCGATATTGACGACAGTACGTTTCGATAAGCATATAACAAAATTGATTTGTGTATTTGATAAAATATATTTTTGGAGCTTTGCTAAAGCAACCTAGATAAAATTTAATTAGTTAACAATCAGATGCATGTTGTAGTGGAGGGTAGATAGCGCTATATAAGGAGAGGATGGACGTATGAAACAAAAATTGTAAAAATCACGTATTGCCGTATCATGCTGATAAAATCTATAACCTGATTGTTTACATTTTATCAATGGCGTTGCTCGCGCGTTTTTTTTTTTTCTTCTTTTTTTGTCTTTTTACTGAATCCTACAATAATTGCCTTGATTAGATGAAATTTTTTTATAAACGCGTATTTTTTTTTTCTGCAAACGTCGCTGCCTTTGGGAATAATTCGCTCATATATTTGGCAAAAAAAAAGAAAAAAAAAAAGAGAAAAAGCGGCTCAAAATACATCGGATCTTTTAATAAATTAATTCTCATCCGATATTGATATTTAATATTCTAATGATGAATAATTAGCCGTTCGTCTCATTATTGCACATTCGATAATGTGCAGTTACCGGGTTTTTAAAGTAATTGGTAAATTTTTCTACCACAATCTCACATTCAGCAACACTGATAACACTTCATTACTTTTTCATTTCCGTAATTCTTTCCTTAAATCTCCGTAAGCGCGGACGATCTCGTCGGGATATTATAGAAATTCTTAAAATTTTCGATCCTATGCAATTGTTGCCATAAGAAATATTTACCCGTCCTAGGATAATAATGCCGGAGCACGACGTCTCGCGGCAATAAAGGAAAGGAAACCTATAAATATTTATCGGAGAAGCTCGATAAAATTTCTCTGTAAAATATTTTTAGCTTAGTCCTAAAAAAACTACTTTAATAGTCCTCTAACTCCCCATGTCGGCGCATCTCAAAATAATATCACAGCCGATAAATTTCCTTGAAAGTCTCGCGCCTCGTGCTCCATTATTCTCACAGGAGCACGCGACAGAGGGACGTGAAAAAAAGCTAAGATTGGCGGTTGGGGGAGGATGGGGAGTGACGGGGGGACGGCGGCGGTGACGCTGGAGTTATAAAAAGGAGCGTAAACCAAACGCCTCGTTAGGAATTCCCGAGGATGAGATAAGGAGGACGGCGCAGTCGCTGTTACGACGAGATTACTTTCGCAGTGGAACCGAGCACGTCCGAAGCTTTTTTCTTCGGCAGTTACGGTGTAACCCGCGGTGTCACCCTCCGATCTTCCCTATCGCGACGGACACATGGCCTCTTGAAATGCTTACGTCTTTCTCATCCAGGCATTAAGTAGGTAGGAAAACTCATGACTCCGATACTGAGCCGAGATTACATAAGTGCACGTGAGCTATGTGCCGGTCAAAGTCCAGCACCTTCGATGCTCGCGCACACTCGCTAAAATCCGATGCAGCGCATTTTCAAATCTCTCTCTCTCTCTCTCTCTCTCTCTCTCTCTACACACACACACACACACACACGCTCGCGCGCGCGCGTCATCATCATTATCAACATTATTTTAGATATCATTCATTATCCTCGCATTGAAATATCCGAATATTCCGACCGCGGTCAGATTTAAAGTTGCTTTTTATCGAATCTCACGCTCTCCTGTGCTTATCCAACTGTGAAAGTTACGAGTATCGCAGACGCTTATCGGATGGGTATTTCGCACTGGAGCTATCGAATCTTTACAGTTCGATGTGAAATGCGTCATCTACGTGCACAACCATCTAATTCGAAAGATGAGAAGACGAAAAGTGGTTACATTACAGACTCAAATGGTGCCACAATTTCTCTCTCTCTCTCTCTCTCTCTCTCTCTCTCTCTCTGAATAAACATGAGATGGAAGCGCGTACACAAAAGAGAGAGAGAGAGAGAGAGAGAGAGAGAGAGAGAGATACTGAGAGACAGACTTTCCACGATGCGCTTTCGCCTCGCGTCCCCGATTTCTGAACTTGTACACAGGCTGACACGCGTACATGTGCACTGCACACCATCGGGAGTTTATGCCGCATTAATTTTCGTGAGAGCACGGCGCTACAGTGAACATGCATATGGAAAACGAAGTACGAAGGAGGGAAAGGGGGAAGTTAGAGAGAGAGAGAGAGAGAGAGAGAGAGAGAGAGAGAGAGAGAGGCGAATGAGTCATCGTTTCTATCCCTTTTATTTCAACTGTTCTTTTGTTGCGGCTGGAAATCTAATGTTTTTTTTTAACCGCTTCCGCTCTTACTTCCAATAGTAGCTAGCAAATATTATTAATTCGGACCTGGTTTCATTATCTATCACATTTACCATTGCCATATAGCGATTCGTTCGCGTCATCTCGCAATAATTAATGAGTCCGAGTACCATTAATTTACATTCCCACTTTGCACAGCCGTTATCCCCTTTAGCTACCCACATGGAAATTCTCTCACCACCGTCCCATTATTCCCCTCCCCCTCCCCCGCCATTATCCATCATCCACCTAGGCCATCCACCTTCACCGTCCACCCTCTAGACTCGACTCAACTCAACTCGATTCAAGGACCCCAAGCGCCGTCATTTCGCGTAGATCATCCCATATTTACGCGAAATCCCGATCGTTGTTAATTCGATGATACCGAGCGGTGTTATCGATGGTATTCCGCTTTAGCTCCAGCCGGTCGGCGAGCATCGTCGCGTCAAGCTGGAACCCAAGGCTCTTTCTCGAATTGACTCTTGAATGGGCCAATTGAAAGCGGTTGGAGGTAGAATGGCTGAACTGCCTCGGCGAGTGGGCGATCGGTAGCAGCCATATTCCCATATTCCGATTAACGGTTAAATCAGCGGCGCACGCCAATCGTAGGCACACGCGGACACCATCTCGATATGCGGCTCGATCGCTCTTTTCCCCTCCTCCTCCTCCCGCCACCTCATCCGCCCACCACGCCACTTACCGAGCCAGAGAGCATCGAGTTTCGGCCAGACGGGCAGAAGCTGGATTGGCGAGTATGAGAGATAAGCCGTTACCGGGAGCTCGCGCGCACCGGCTAAAAGTCGCGCCTTTGTTGGCGACTCACCTGGACTGAGGAGGAGACGCACCTCGAATCGCCTCCCGCACTCGCTCCCACTCGGTTTTGCAGCAACTCTTTGGTTGCAATTGGCCAGTCGGCGCCTCCGCTTGCCTTCACCACCACCAACAACAACGGCGGCAGCGGCAGCGGCAGCAACGGTAATAGCAACAGTAACAGTAATAGCAACAGCAGCAGCAACAACAACAATAACAACAATAACAATAACAACGGCAACGACAATATCAACAAGTTTGGATGTAGAGCCAAGGTTTATGGACTCGATTATTTACCGCGGGCACCGCGATCAACACGTACTCCGGGACTGCGGCGCGAGAATCTACTACGCGCTGCCGATGACGATGAGGACGGGAGCAGCGGCGGCGGTGGCGGCGGTGGCGGCGGTGGCGGCGGTGGCGGCGG